TCCGTGTCAAAGAGCTTGTCCAAGACAGGGGTGGGAACGAGGTTCACAAAGATTTCCTACTAGAGAACGTCTATCTAGTGGACGACCTTCCGCACACTCTCCTGTCCGTATCGGCATTGCTGCGAGATGCATACTCTGTGAGATTTGGTACTGCCAGTTGTACCAAAGCCTCGTCGCGAGGCGCGACGAAGTGTATTGCACGTCTGAGTGGAGGAGTATATTCGGTGTTGACGGCCCGGGAGTGCGACGCTGTCCCCCCTATCAGCATCCGGACTTTCGGCGACTGCTCTTGGGCGAACACTGGAAATGTGGCACAGAAGATTGGGACACGTAAATTACGATACCCTCAAGAAAATGGCCGTCAGTAGAGTCGTCCGAGGGCTTCGCGTCGATTCAGGAGCCAACCCTTCGATGTGTACCGTGTGCACGCTCACCAAAGACACGCGGCAGTCGATCCCACGCTCTCATTCAAGTCCCGACGAAGTCACCGACGGCATATGCCATATCGACCTTGCTGGACCAATATCCGCCTCCGTGCATGGGTATCGATATTTTATGGTGGCTGTATGGCGTGATTATGTTGCGACGTACCCCCTGAAACGAAAGAACGAAGCTGCATCAAAGGTGAAGCAATTCCTGTCAATGATTGAAACCCAAGCTGCTGTATCTGCAACGTCTATCAAGGTGCTACGCACAGATGGAGGGACCGAGTTTCTGAATAAGGACTTCAGAAAGTTGGCGCACAGTCGCGGAATTCTCTCGCAGCACACAACGGCCTACTCTTCAATCCAAAACGGAGTTGCTGAAAGAGCGATCCGAACTGTGACTGAGACCGCCGCAGCCATGTTGGTAGACGCTGGGCTACATCATAGATTATGGGAATACGTACTGCAGCATGCCACGTACATACGAAATCGAATTCCTCGACGTGGAGCCGCGGTAACCCCACATCAACGCATTTTTAAGCAGCAACCAGATGTGAGCCACCTTCCGATATTTTGACAAGCGGTCGTGGCTCGAGTACCAGACCAAGTTCGCCGGAAAACCAAACGCTTCGTGGACACTCGCGGGCAACTCGGTGCGTTTATCGGTTGTGCCGAGGACATCAAAGGCTTTTTCGTCTACTCCAAAGGCACGTCACGATCAATATTCGCTTCCAGATATGTATCGGTAATTGACCGTATCCTGTTCGAAGTAGATCCCAACGCTGAGGAGGATGACGACGCGGAGGATGGTGGAGAAACAGACGAAGAAGTAGATCAAGTCGTCCACCAAGATGATCGTGTGGACGCGTTCCCATCTGAACTTGCTGCTGTTCGTCGTTCGCAACGCTTAGCTAGACGAACCATGCTACACGCCCAAGCCTTTTTAGTCCTGAGTGAAGTGATTAAGGAACCTCTGAATCTCGCTGAGGCGAAACGATCACCACAATGGACAAAGTGGAAGCAGGCGATTAACGACGAAGTAAAGACGCTGTTTGACAATGGAACATTCGAATGGGTAGATCCTCCAACAGGAGTCCGAGTGCTCGATCACACCCTGCAGTTCCGGTTGAAAACGGGCGCTGATGGGAACGTGGAACGGTTCAAAGCTCGATTATGCGCGCGCGGTGACAAGCAGATATGGATTGTGCATTTCATCGAGACTTACGCTCCTGTGGCAGGACTTGTCACGGTACGAGTATTTCTGGTGATTGTCATGAAATTACGGATGCATGTGCGTCAAGGGGACGTGCCCGCTGCTTACGTGAAAGCTGATCTGACGGAAGAGATATACATGAAACCCGTGCCTGGATATGCTAAGTCTGGTGATAAAGGCAAGGTATGGCGCCTGCGCAAAGCATTGTATGGCTTGCGTCAAGCTGGTCGTGCATGGAATCGTGAACTCAATTCTTTCTTGCATGACTACGGTCTCACACCGACGCAATGCGATCCTTGCCTGTACTACGCGTATGTGGAGAACACACTATTGCTTGTGTGCGTCTACGTCGACGACATTCTGGTGGCGCACAAAAATGAAGACCAATGTCTTCGTCTCATGACAGCGCTCGGAGAGCGATACCAAGTAAAGGACATGGGCAGTCCCCATCAGTTCCTGGGAATAAAAGTTGATCGTACAAGCGACAACATGGTGACGCTGAGTCAAACAGCCTATGTCGATGAAGTGCTGCATCGCTTTGCAATGGATGCGACCCGGCGTACTCACCTACCGATGGTAGCGAACACACGTCTAGATTTCGTGGATGACGGACCGACAGCGTCGGAGCAAGAACTAATGACAAAAATGCCATACAGACAGGCAGTAGGGGCTCTGCTCTATCTGGCGCGGGTGTCCAGGCCCGACATAATGTTCACCGTCGGTCAGTTGGCTAGACACTTTGCCCCCCGCGGAAATCGGCTTGGGATGCCGTTAAGTATCTCCTACGTTACCTCCGAGCAACGAAAACCTTACAGCTGAAGCTCGAACCAACCACGGAAGACATCGTCGTGACCACAGATGCTGACTGGGCCAACGACAGAACGGATCGGAAAAGTGTCTCCGGATCCGTGGTATACCTATTTGGATGTCCGGTTGCCTGGGCCAGCAAGAAACAAACAATTGTGCGCAAATCTAGCACGGCTGCTGAGTACGTGGCAGCAGACACGGGTATTGAAGACGCATTGATGGTAAAATTGCTCGCGGACGAAGTACTCCAAAAGCATTTGCCGCTGAGGCTGGTTATGGATAGCCA